ACGTCTGCTCGTGAAAAAATTCAAAATTGACATTTGCTCTTTATCTTTTAACAAATCAATTTTATCAGTTATTCACATATTAATCTAAATAATGATTTAATAAAACAAACAGAATGCTATATTAACTATTTTTTAGAATATAAGATATATACAATTGAATAGCTTCACATGAATAATTTACTAAAACTTTTTAATTTGTAGATGTTTAATTCTCAGAACTATTCATCCTTACTTTCAGAATTATATTTCAACTGATATTTATTCGTTAGAATAATCAATCATAATATTCAAGTATTATCTTAAAATTTTGCGAAATGAATTTTTATGATAGAAAAAAATCAAATTATTGAATTTCAACAAATATTAATTCTTTCTAATGGAAATCATTTATACTATTCTCAAGGAATTTTTTTTGTTTTAGTCATCATTCAAATTGTCTTATTTTAGAACAAAAAAATTGAATTATTTGTTTTGTTCTTCTCACATTCTCAGGCACTCACATGTAGTCATGTAATTTACACTTAAAAAATCTAAACATTTTTTACTTTTTGTATTCGTTTAGTGACAACGACGACGACGATTATGCCACGAAATCGAAATACTGACGTATTAAAAAAAGAAATATCATTTATACACTTAAATTTTCTTGAATTTTTTTTTTTTTTTTGTATTTAGAAATTTGTTGTTGTTCGAACAGATGTTGATGGAAATGTATTAGATTATGATATTATTGAACAACCTATTGGTTCATTTCCTACTCAACGAACATTACAAAAAACTAATCGATCAAAATCAATTGAATCAACATCACGAGTTAATCGAATACAAAATAATGATAATGAAGAAGAAAAAAATAAACATGTTCCTGTTACACCATTGAAAACAGCACATTCAGAACCAACTACAGAAGTAAGATGAATAAATAATTGATATAAATATTTTAATTTTATCTTATTTAAAAAAGTCTACAGCAATACAACGACGACGTGGTGTTCGTTATGTTCCTCCAATATCAAATGTTAAAGTATGAAATTATTTATTTAATTATAATCTTTATTTTATTTTATTTTATTTTAGATTTATCAAAAAAAACTTAATTGGTATGCAGAACCAAAAATAAAATCACATAATGATGATGCAATAAGACAAATTCGTCGTGCACCTAAAAGAAAAATATTTGGTCAAAAATTAGCTTGGAGTACTGAATCAAAACTTGATACACATAATAATGAAGCCATAGAAACTATTCGTAATAGACCAAAATCTCAAGTAGAATATTTTATTTTTTATTTAATTTAATAATCATTTTGTCATATATTTCAAAAAATAAAGATATTTGACGAAAAAACAAATTGGAATGTTGAAACAAAAATTGATTCACATAATGAAAAAGCCATTGAAACTCTTCGTCAAGTACCAAAACCACGAGTAATTCATTTATTTATTTTTTTATAGAATCAATTTTTTTTCTTTTTTTTTTTATAAAAGATTTATGATGAAAAAATGACTTGGGATGTGAATACAAGAATCGATGCTCATAATGAACAATTTGTTCATCATCTTAAAAGTGCACCAAGACCAACTGTAAGATTTTATTATAATAATATTATTATGAATCTATTTTTATTTTGACAAATAAAACAAAACAAAAAAAAAGATTTATGATGAAAAACTTACATGGCAACCACGTACACGAATTGATCATCATAATGAAGAATATATTCAACATATAGAACGTGAACGTACATTACGAGAACAAACAGCAAAACAACGTATTCAAGTAGAAATATTTTTTAAAATTAATTGATTTTTATTTTCAAAATTTTTTTGATCTAGAGTTTTTCACATGAACGAACAGTAAAAGCAGATAGACCTCGTGTTAATCATTCTAATCCTGAATATGTAGAACATAAGAAAAGAAGAATATTATCAAGACTTCCTGTATGCAAAAAAAAAGAAAAAACTAATAAATTGAATAAGATATGAAAATTTGAAATTTTCTTTTTTCTATTTAGCCAATTGAAGATCGAAAATTTGAATGGAAAAAAGAAACTCGTATTAATCAAAAAAATGATGATTATATTGAACGTATTCGACAAAAACGATCAATACCTCTTGTATTAAATAATAATTTCTTATATAAATAACTAGAAATTTCCGTTTTTTTATTTAAAAGATTTTTCGAGAAAAAATTCAATGGCATACAAAAACACCACAAATTAATGCTCATAATGAAGAATATCTTGATAAATTAAAAGATCACAAAAAACCAATAGTAAGAATTTTATTAAAATAAATAATTATTTTTTCTTTTTTTTTTTTTTTGTAAATTTATGTTCTAATCAGATTGTTAATCAATTACCTCAATGGAGTTCACACTCAAAAATTGATACATACAATGATAAATATGATCAAAATTCTGATTCACGTCTTAGACCAGTGGTAAATACATTAATAAAATAAGTTAACAATAGTCAATTTTCTAGGCAGAAAAAAAAACGATGCATCATAATATTCCACCATCTTACTTGTAATGTCCATTGGTTTTATAAAACCTTGTGCTTTTATAGTTTTTCACAAATCTTAGAAAAAAACATTTTATTCAAAACAAACACATGCGTTTATGTATAGGGTACTTTTCGTATCTCGACTTTTGTATTCAAACAAAAGGAGATACAAAAGAAACCAAAATAATGCGAGCATCATAAACAATATCTAATATCTATGAAGATATTTTCAGCTTAATAGAAGGTACAATATCGGAAAGAGAGAGAGAGAGAATTTTTAACTCTATTGTCAAAAACTAATGAGAACCTACCGTCCGAGCCCCATTTTCGAAAACCGATCGAACCCTAATGCTAGCATTCAGTACTAATTAAATAAGCAGTAATTTGGGAAGGAATAGAGAACAAAAAGTAAACCCTAAACTTCGAGTTAACACAGTGAACTCACTTTTTCGAGCTCTCTCTCTCTCTATGTAATTTATTCTTGATTTGTTTACTTGCGACTGACTATAAGTGTGGACTTTGAGGATTTCCTCATTAGATAAAATTTGTTTTTTAATTAGACACTAAACAATGAAATAGTTTTCTTATATTTAAAAATAAATTCTAATTTTCACTTACATGAAGCAAACATAGCACGTACTTGCTTTTTTTTAAAACTATATAGAGTATACTCATTTGTTATTTATTCATATAGCAATGTATGCACGAATGACTTGTTCTACGTTGACATATCGAAAAAATGAGTTTCGAAAGTATTTTTATGCATAAATGAATCGATATTTTAAATGTTTGAAGTATTAAATTCCGAAAGAAGACAGTTAATGTTCTATCACAAAGAATACATAAGCTAAAAAGATGCTTCATCTTTTTTTTGTTTTTTTTTCATTGAAACATAACTCAACAAAACATGTTTATAGTTTATATGTCATCTACAAACCACATTAATTTTAAGACATATAAAAAAATACAACCCAAAACACATAAGATTAAAGATCTTTTCTTTCCGAAGTTTGCTAAGATAAACTAGATCTTCAATTAAATTTGAACATAATTTAATATAAATATAAATATATATATAAGATCAATTCTTTATTCTCATCTTTTTCGATTGTTAGATCTTTGAAAAACATTGACTGAATCTCAATTTTACGTTACATATATATACAAATGTGGCGAACAATTCGAGTATCTGATTCCATCGGATATATATCGGAATCTGACAATCGGATACCACTTGAGTTCCTATTGGATTCATGTGTCTGAGTATATAAAAAATGTGATTTAATACGTCGTGATTTTATCTGCACCGAAAAATTTTCAAATTTTTTGATGAGATATTTTTGGAAAACGACAAAAAATTGATTTATTCATGTCAAATCTTTCTATTGATCTTCATTGTATAATGTCGTTTATGTTTTACAGGATCAATTTTGATTTCTTTTTTCTCCATTCTTTATATCATTAGCAGTTATTCAAGAATAGATTTTGTGTCATTAATCATCAGAAATTTTGACAAAGGTCTTTTGTTAGTTGTTAAAAGATTTTTTTCTTAATCGCAATAATCTATTATATACGTACAGTACTCTCAAGAAGTTCTCCTATAGAGTAAAACATACAGATACTTCGATCCTGTTGCCTCATATTCTAATTACAAATAGAACTCGGTAAACCTTGATCGCAACCAACAACTCGAAGTCGATAGACCTTAACGCAAAGAATTTTTGATGAAAACACTAATTTCTCTCTAGGACCCAGAAAAAAGCTTTTTTGACATTTCTCGATTTTTTCACTATTTAAATGCATTAATCTCATTTTTTCGATTACTAAATAATGATTCACATGTTTATATTGTGTCACAGATAGGATATTCCAGTCCACTGTAGTTTTAAGGAACGATGAAGATTCCATTGTGTGAGACGTTTTCAACATGAATCTCTTCTCCATTGATGAAATTTTCAAGGAATCAAAAATTAATAACTTATAATCAACTACACGATACTAATTGTTTTTTTCATAGAAACAGATTTGATGTAATTCAATGTAAATAGTTTTGGCTATAGATGATGTCTGCAAGAATATTGAATGTGCATAAGTTTAGTAGTAGAATGTAGAAAAAAATATAAGTTCCGGTTGAATAAAACTTGATTTTTATATATTCTTATTAGTTAAAATAATATTTTTATTTATTTATTAAAATAGATTGTTAATGAAAAACCTCAATGGTATGGACGATCAAAAATTGATACAGGTCTTCTACCTGATTCCAATCCAGAAGAAGTATTTCTATATTCTTTCTTCTATGTTATTTTTTTCTTTATTTCTTTTTATAGTATGCTGATTATGGGTTGGCTACTTGATCAATATATATA